CCCCGAGAAGCCCGCGCTTGCCGCAGCCCCCACCCCTCCCAACCGCGCGCACGCGCAGTGAAGGCAGCCGCGCGTCGCCCCCTACCGGCCCAACCCCTCCGACGCCGCGCGGCGCTTCAATGAATGGGGGGAGGTGGGGAGAGGCAACCGCCAATGGCGCGCGGGGGCGCGGCGCGCCACCCCCGAGGCGCGATGGGAGTTGTAGTTCTTGCCGGCAGCCGAGCGGCGCTGGCCGGCGGCGACCGCGACTACAGCCCCCAGGCGGCCTCGCGCGGCCGCGCGCCCCGCCCCGCCACGGCAGCTCGGCGCAGCGCTGCCGCGGCCGCAGTCGCGCCGCAGAGGTGACCCCGAGCAGCCAGCGCATCCGCCGCTCCCGCAGACATGGTCGGTACCGGGCCCCTCGGCTTCCTTCGGCTCGGGGCAGGGAGTCCCGGCAGGCGGAGGCGGCCCCGAAATGGCGTCGCCCTGCCCGCCTGGCCGCGCTGCTGCCGGGAGGGCCGGGAGTGAGGGGCAGGGTGACCTGGCGGTGGTGCGGCGCCCGGAGAAGGCGGGCGCGGTGCGCCCGGGGCTCGCCGCAGCCCGGAGCCGCGGTGACCTTCCAGGCGGGGACGTGGGGCCGGTGCCGGGCTGGCGGCGGCTCTGGCCGTTCCTGTGGCCAGGGCCGTGCGGGGGAGGGCGGGTGTGCCCCCGGCGGAGCGCGGAGCCTGCCCGTGCTGGGGCTGGCGCTCCGCAGGGAGATCGCGCCTGTTCCCGGCGCTGCCCGCGGGAGATGCGGGCTGTCAGCTCCTCCGCGGGGCCTGAAAGGGTTTGGTGCGGGTCTGTGTTAGCTCAGGGGAAAGTGCTTGTGAAATGTCTCTGTTGGTTCATCCCCGCCTGCTGTCGGAAATCCAGCTGTTTGCTCAGACTCTCTAGATTGTCAAGGAGTCCTTCCAGGTCTGCCCTGAGGTTAGAGGTGAACTGCAGTGCTTTGCTTTCCTGCAGCGTGTGTACATAGGTCTGTAAACCTGCACAGAGACCTTGCTTTCCTTTCTAGGCATGAAAACATCTCTGTGTTTTTCTAGACTCAGTGCCCTGTTACTCAAACCTTCACTTTCAGCTATTTTGCTATAGAAAGGATGCTTGCGTGCTCCGAAATGTGGCTTATTTCAGCTGTACCCTAAAAAATACCAAAATCTGCAAACTTTGTGCTTATTTTCCACTCTTTCTATTTAAATGGGGATTTGCAGGAGTGACAACATGACAGCAAAAAAAAATCAAATATCTCACTGAGGCATGGATGGGCTGGTCTCACAAAGAACTTTGATGTCCAGGCTTTTCAGAATGTCACCGTTTTTAGCTTGCCTTTGCTATTCAGATTACGCAAGTGATGTTGGGCAGAGGCTTTAAATTTCTGAAATAAAATCATCTATCAGTGCAGCCACCATTAGCTCAATGAAATGGAAAAAGTTTTACAGGGCACCTGTGTCAAGGTCGTTCCTTCAGGAAGGAATGCCTTTGGAATTGCTTTGCTCTCTGAACCGCAGCACTAGTGGTGTTCTTCAAGTGCACGGCTGCCTTGCAGCAGAGAATTTCTGCTACATTTACAAACGTGTTTATTGTCACCACATCTCTGCTTCAAAGAAGGGAGAGCAAAGGGAAAGTTCCTTAGGCAGACTCTAGACCTTGGAAGAGATAAAAATTTATTTTAATGATTAAGTAGTTATTGTAAAGGAAGGTGGGATAGCTTAGTTGGCTGGAATAATGTTCAATATTCAGGAATAATGTTAAGCTGGTGGTATTTTATAGACGTGCTTATCAGCAATAATCTTTATAGAGATCTCTCAGAACTGCAATTAGCAATGCAAAGTCTGTCACTTGTGTAATCAGGATGTTCCTGTCACAGCATTTGATAGGTTGTGAGTTATCTTTTACTTACCTTTGTAACCTCCTGAATCAGTTTTGCAGTGCAGTGCTGTTTGCAGGTATGGCACTAATGTTTTAGCTCTGCTGATACCAGCTGTAATCACAGAAATAACTGAAGCACTGAGTTCTTAAACCAAAGTCTGTGGGGTGGGTGTTAAGACCTCAAGTTCCTCACTTGATATTGGAGGCTTTGCTTTTATCTGTGATAGTTTAGGAGGGGGAGAGATCCTACATTTGCTGGATTTGATGAAGAAGGGTACTGGTGAATGCAGTGGTCAGTTGCTGGGGGCTTTTTTCCCATCCTTTTTATCATTACTTTTGCTACTCTTTTATTTTCTTAAAGCTTTTAAACTATACATCAGTTGAATGTGGAGTGGGGAAGGCTTTGGAACAAAATAGTTCAGCTAGTTGTTGCTTAATTTGTCCGCTAGTTCCTTTATACCTGAGAGTGAGTAAAGGTCACCCCTGCAGCTACCACAGCATGAAAGTCCTGCAGGAGCCAAGTCACGGGTTAAAGCGTCTGGACATGAATGTCTGGAGCCTACAACTTCTCTTGGGGAGCTTCTCATTTCTCTAAAAGTAGCCTCAGACACTCAGTGAGACCAATTTTAATATGAGATGTAAGGTTTTTTTGTGAGAGTTATCCACATCTTGTAAGCAGCACAACGAAAACCAAAGTTTTTTGGTTTGTTAATCCAGCTTCTGGATTTAAGAGAGCATTTAAGTTTCTTTGATGCTAAATTCTCACAATTGGTGCAGGGATAAAAGGCTCTGAGGAATGCACTGAACCCAATGTACTGAAGGTTTGGAAAGGAAAAACAAGTAGGCTGCACTCCTCACCTTATTTTAGCTTATGTGTTTTCCTCCTCCAGCCCCAAATGGGGGACAACAGGAAGGATGGTAGTAAGCAAACATAGTTATTTTGAGAAGATGGAACTGAGTCATGACTGAAGGTTTGGGGTTTTTTTTAGAGGCTAAATGCCAAGTTTGTCTCAGTAAAAAAATAATAAATAGTCCTATTTCTTACCTTTTTATCTTCTCCTCCTTCCCTCTCCTGTTGTTATGCTGAATACTCACCTAATGCTAGTGGATAGGTTGGCATTTTTTATGTTTCAGTCAGACTGGCTTGTAAAGTTCATAGAATGCAAAAAAAAAAATAAATCTCTTTTCCTTTCCCCCTTTTGTCATGCTGCTTTAGAAGAAAGATCCTTAAAATCTTTCTTCAATTCACTGGAAATTCAGAAATCAATTCATAATTTATTTCAGATACCCTATAAATGTAAAGAAAACATGTTTTGCTGCTACCTGTGTGAATTCTGGAATAGCTTAGTACAGGATCACTTTTTATATGATGGGGATTTTGCCAGGCCAAGGTTTGCAGCACTGTGATTTTTCAGTATTTATTTTACTAACTAGTGTGGTTAGCTGCCTTAAAAGAGTGTTCATTGTTCCATTTATATTAATAAAATGTAGCTTCTTTTTAGAAACAGGCTGAAAAGTTGGCTTTAAAATTTGATACACATCATAATCCATGCTGCTCATCATCATTCAGATGTTATGGTGCATTTCCCTGCTCAAGAATAGAGTACCAGAACTAGTTTTGAGGTTTAAACCACCAAGAATTGATTGTCTGCTCTCCTTCCCCTCATAGTGGAGTTTCAATGAGGTTAGAGGGGTGTGATTCATAGTAGGACGAGTTCAAAAGAGAATAATGCACTTCAACACCATATAACGGGCAATTGGGTAATGAGATATTTAAAGAATCATTCCCATAATGAAGGCCAGTCTAAATCTGCAAGTTCAGTAGTTTACCTTCATAATTTGTGCTCTGATTTTAACTAGTATGTGATAAATGGGGTAGATAGGCTAATTTTTGTAATTATCTAACACTAGTTGATGCAGCTGTGCTTGGCTGGTCAATTCTGCAGAGGGAATACACTGCAAGCCCCACATGGTTTTCCTATAAATATCAGTGACAGGAATACTGGTTGGAAAGGATCTGTAGAGGTCATAGAGTCTGCCCTCTTTCTTGCTCCATGTCTGGAAGTTGTCCAATCCAGCCTGACAGTGAGACTTTTGCCACTGATAGATCATGTCATAGGTGTTTTGGTCTGGGCCTTGAAAACTGCTGGGGGTGAAGGTTATACAGACCCTCTGGGTATCCTGTTCTGCTGCAACAGTAGCACATAATCAAAAGTTTTTCTCTTAATTTGTAGCTGTTGCACCCTGTTCTGCCACTGCTGAGAGGAGTTGGGGACAGTGTTATTTTTCTAACACACTGTGAACGTGTGGTGGTCTGTGTGAGATCCCCCTTATTCTCTACCTTTCCAGACAATGTCCTGACTGAGTTTCCCTCAGCCTCATGTTACAGACCACAGAACCATACAGAACTCAGGTCTCCAGAACTGGACTCAGTATTCCATCTGCAGTATCACCTGCACTGAGTGCAAGACGTGTCTGTGCTCTGCAGCTTACACTTTTCATAATGTTGCCCAGAGTGCAATTGAATCACTTCTTTCACATTCAGTTATGCCTGGTCTGTATCTCAAGTGATCATCTTTTAATTTTCTGAAGAAGTAGGCTTGGCATTCCAGCAGGCTGGTCAGCTGCTTGTTCCTGTCCCAGTGCAATCTGCCCCAGCCCTATTGCCTCTAGAGAAAAAGGGAAATACAAATAATGGGTTTACGAAATACCGGGTTATTAATGTCCTTTGCCACGTGGCCCATTTTGATAGAATCATAGAATGCTTTGGGTTTGAACAAACTTTTAAAGGTCATTGATCCACCTCCCTGCATTTGGCAGGGACATCTTCAACAAGACCAGGTTTTCAGAGACCTCTCCAGTTTGACCTTGAATTTTTCCAGGGGTGGGGTGACCACCACTTATCTGTACAATCTGTGCTAGTGTTTCTCCATCTTCATTGTAAAGTATTTATTTCTTATCTTGGTCTGTCCTCTTTTAGTTTAAAACTATTGCCCCTTGTTATTTCATAACAGGCCCTACTAAAAGGTTTGTCCTAATCTTTTTTGTAATTCTCCTTTGAGTATTGAAAAGCCACCCTGGTACCTT